CAATTTTGGTCCTCCAAAGGTCTGCCCACAGCCAAGCAGCTTCAATGGCAGTGTCCAAAGGGTTTAGGGTTTAGGGTGAGGAGATTAGTTTGTTTTTGTATGTAAGGCCGGGCCGGGGATGGGTAATTCACACTGACAGTATCTATCGTCGAAAGGGTCTTATTAAGGGTCTATTCGTGCTCCAGTACATCTTGTGGCAGCTCTTACTGTAAGGGGGAACGGCCCAAGGTTTATGGGTGTTTCTCAAGATGGTGTACAGTACTTGGAGGTTTGGACCCAATAAGCCCTGTAGCAGTTTTTTCTAGATAATCTCCTATATAACCCCCTTCAAGGAGTTTAGGCTACAGCTCGCAAGAGGGGACTTAGGCTCATAATTGGGCTCTAAGCACAATTACAAGTGGGTCATAAGTTGCTTGAACCCCCAAGTACCCGAAGAGGTTCCTTTGAGAACCAAGGTCGTGAGACTCCAAAAGGATATTATAGCGGCCTAGCTATTGCAATGCTCCTTACTCCAAAGAGCAGTGATAAGGGTTATGGAATAGTGGAGAATTAAATGGGTTAGAGCATGGAAAATGATATGGAAACTGAGGTTCTGTATGGGGTTTACAGGGAGAATTACGCAATTATTGTTCCTCGATTCTTTGTATGATTATGGCACGGGGTACCTCTCATAGGTCTCATGGTAATCATATATGAGGATATCTAAGTTTGTTAGAATGCCAGTCCCTAAATAGATTTCTGCAATTTTGGTAAAAGTTCCTTATGTATCCAGGCTTTCACATTAGGTCCCATATACTGTAGTTGGCTCCCAAAAACCGGGCTCCAGAATCTTGATCAAAATAATCCCTGCGTCAGACTGGCCTCACAGTTTGGGGTCTAGGGCTTTTAGGGTCAGCTGGATTTGATAAATAGGTTATAAGGGGCGTAGGATTATGAAAGAGGTTCTAGCGCGTATAAATATACTTCCTAAGTTCACCTGACTCGCCGAGTGAGACAGAAAGTTTTCAAGCTCCCATGTAGAGATTATCACGGGATTCTAGAAGACCCCATACGAATGACACACTTTCACAGGAGTTTTAAGATGCAGTCGCAGCTGCTGAGTTGAGTTTACTATGGATGTAGACCGGTCATACATCACCTCAGCTCTAATACACCCGGAACCTTCAATCATGGATTTACATGTATACATTATAAATGGCGGCGTTGTCAAAATTGTGTTTGTTTTTGAGTACCCTAAAATATGGCCCCGATAAAACAGACCACATTTTTTGAAAACTTACCATGTATGTGTATACGTAGCACATAATATCTATACATATACATATGTACATGCTCAGAGATGCAAATAGATATGCGTGTATACATATAATAAATATACAGCCGCATATACAGTCATATCCCTGGTATCAGCTCCCGTCTTTGGGAATTCTCTCCTGAACATGTCCTTATCTAGACCGGACCTGGTAGGTATTGCGCTAGCTGCTTCGATGTAATCCTGGTGAGAATCCCAAGATGGTTTACTTGCCGGTGGTTAACAGGGAACAAAGGTGTATATATATATATATATTTATATTTATATCTATATTTATATATGCGCTCCCTATATGATAACAAAAAAACTTCCTGTATTCCCTACTAACCCCTAGCAAGTTAAAGGGCTTAAGGAAGTTAGGTTAAGCATAGGTTCAAAGGTTCCACTGTTCTGTTCAAACACTGTCAGATGCTTCCAGGCCTTTGCAGAGTCATTTTTGGGAGGGCGTCCAGCCCAGCAGACGAACACACATTACTTGGAGGGTCAGGGGGACTTAGTAAGTGTAGGGTTGAGGGTTTAGGGTCAGGGGGACTTAGTAAGTGGCTAGGGTTTAGGGTTCAGGGTCACAAGGTCTTACGGTAGTGACCCTCCAAGTACGTTTGCAGAAGCCTGCTTGCAGCCATTGTCAGCTGATAGCTACTGAAGGGCTCTATATTATGGCATCCCAGAATATACTATAACATCCCCATAACATACTAAGATATACTAGAATATTCTATAACATATTATACTCAACAGGTAATGTCGGATGCTCTCGTGCTATTACAAGCTAATTTAAGAGTTGCCTTTCTTGACATACCTACCTAGCCCCTACATCCCTGTATCCTCCCAGTTTCCATTTCATGTTCCGCCTTCTTTTTTGTTTGATTCTCCATTCCTACTAATTGCGTTGTAGTTGTATTCCACTAGGAATCCAAGTTTCCATTAAACTGTCCATACTTCTGTCCAGTAGACTCTCCATTATGTGATAATAGACCTCAAACCAAAACCCTAAATGACCCTATGTATAGCCCCCCCTTACTGAATTTCCTTTTAGTTTCTTTTAGAGGGACATCATCGTCCCTATTAGGCAATCCCCTGAACCTTAAACCCTCGAGCTACCTAGGCTGGTTAGCTCCCCTAAGTGTGTTTGGCAGCATCGCTACTGTTGATTTAGGGTTTCGTGGTTGATACTAAGAATCCGGCATGGCCTTAGCATACTTTAATACAATAGTTCCCCAGGTATAAGGACTTCGGGTCATGCAGGATTTTAAGTATCCACTGTATTGCTAATGGCATCATCCTATAGTGTTTTCATCGTCATGATCACCATGATGGCCCTTCTTGTCTTTACGATTCGTAACGGCGATATGTCCTAGATGCATGGCACCTTAAGCCTAACCGCCAAGTGCATGTAGGCTTTCACATGGACACATCGCATCGTGCTCCCAGATCGACAATGCCAAGACTTCTGCATGAGTTGCTTGACCTTAACGCGCTACAATACCATAGTTCTTAAGGCAATGGTACTGAGGGCGCACGCTTCTCGAACATCAATCGTAGTACACATTGGCAGCAAAGATTGGAATTCCCCATGCTACACAACTCTCCGGACAAACATACAGGTTGCTAATAGGAATGGACTAGGGATCCCTTCAGTAGCCTCTCCTTATCCCCGAACAAAACATGATTAGTTCCCATGTTCTGTTCCTCACATATTGTCAGTAAGCTAATCGTCAACCCTGAATCCCATATATGATCATATGTCCCTGTAAACCTCTTGTCATTGCCCATTTGCTTTGCCATTTTGTTTTCAACTCCCTGCACACCAGCAGGCAAACTCACAACTTCAAAGCCTCTTACTTGTCCAGCGGATATACTTTAACCGTTTTTGGACAAGATACAACCCAGTATTTGCAAAATGGTTGACCTTGGACAGTAGATGCGGGACAACCCAAAATCTGACTTAGTTCAACCCCCAACCCCAAACCCTAAAGCCTGGATTCTTGGCAAAGGCGTTAGCAAGGCTTCGGCCACTTGATCATGGTGTGCTTGCAGAGTCAAAGAGGGCTCAGGGCCTCCAAGACCCTACAGAGGGGTTTACGGTGTAGGGCTACATAGGGATATATAATAGGGAGTTCGTAGCTTCAAAAATGTGGAGCCCCCTTTTGCGGGGTACCTAGAATACCTAGAATGACCTAGAATTGGGAGTACAGTATACAGATCGGCCCGCAATTGCCCCCAACTTGGACTGCAAATTCGCCATGACACTCCTGAAGTTTTCAGGCTTCATGGTCGGGGTGAGACCATCATTTTCCAAATCACTGATATCTGCTTCCTCAGCGAGAGGTCGCTGAGATCCATCCCCATTAAAACGAGAACGGGACCTGCTCCCACGAAGCAGCCACGGTGCTTTGGCATGTGGCGAGGCCTGTCAGCTTTCACTGTTTTTGTTTCCCTCAGCCGGCAAAGACCCAAACATGATAGGCCACGGCTGCCAGCATATGAGTGCACTAGATGGTCTCCTGCCCGGTTGTGGAAACGGTTTGAAGGTTTGAAGATCCAGCTGAAACATGCTGCAATCGAAAGACGACGACGTGTGTGCTGGAAGGGCGCAACTCCTAGAGCTGAGTCGCCCGAGTTTCGGGCAACCTCTGTTGGCTGCAAGAAGCGCTTGTAGCACGTCAGCTGTCACACCAAAGGCAGCAAAAGGTTGCCCGAGACCTGTTTATCAAGTTGCTGGATCAGCCACAGATGCGCACCGCCTTAGGCAGATGCATGAGATGTGGTGAACAGATGAGAGCTGCGCAGGGGAACACGAAGATGACTTCAGGCTTGAAGAGCCTACAAAATGGCATCGACGTTAAGATTGCCATTCAACCCGGTTGAAGATGACGAAAGAAGTGTCCACTAAAGAGCGCCCGAGACCCATAGACGTGGAAAGAGGCATTTCTTGTTGGTCAAGATTCAATGTCTTGTGTGGCGAGCGGGTGTGAAGCACGGATCTTGTGGTTGTTGTGTAATCCCCTAACACAGCACCTCCTCACCCCATAATAAAGCATGTCTGGTTGTTAGGGGGCAAACTGACCCTAAGATTTGGAAGCATTCGTTCTTGTAGCTCTGAATCTCAAATTAGAATCGTAACCCCAAAGTCCGGAGCGCTAAACCCCATGTGCTGAACCCGAAACCTTGAGCCTCATATTTCGCGAGTCCTCAACCCTTAACCGCAAGTCCTCAACCCTAAACCCTTAAGCCGATGACTGGGTATTCGGTGCAGCTAGACACCCTCGCATCTTCGACAAGCACACCAAGCAGCTTCGGCGCGCGGAAAAAAGCTGTCGGAGGTGTGGAGGTTTTGTCTAGGGTTGGGCGTGTGGGTCCTTAATATCGACACTTTGCCTTTGTGGGGGAGATCTGGGAGCCCTGAAGGTCATGCGCTGCTTTAGCTTTAGAAACTAAACGTGGCCCAAAACCCCTGAATATTCCTGAAATGGCATTACGAGCTGTCAATTTGTTGATCTATGATTTGTGTTAGGACCATTCCGCACTAAGTAGCAGGTTGTCATCTCACCCGTTGCAGCTGTGGTGAACTCAGATAGCACCTGCACATAAGTAGGAAACACTCCAACTCTCATCCGGATATTTCTAGAGTACGCAAGTGATGCAAAACTATGTCCACTTCAACCTGCACACCCCGTTCCTTTGAGCAATGGAAGTTCCTAACGGCCTCTTGTCCAAGATTGAACTGGACGAATTCACCATCAAGGAGGTGCAGAACGGTTTCAAGACCATTGAGAAGAGGCTGGGTGGGGCCAAGGAGGCGGGTGAGCAGCTCCTTAGCAAATTAAAGGTTGCCATGCCGAAGACGGCGCCCATGCTCAAAAGGTCCAGCACAGTTTGGTCACTGTGGATGGACCTGATCGGTTCCTTGGATGACCCTATGATCGTGCAAAAGCGCTTGGAGTATTTGGCGCTCCGCCACATGAACACGGAGGTGATTCCCGCAGATGTGGACGCTTTCAAGTCGGTCATGATGGAAATGTGTGCAGCAAAGTTGGGTGGGCTGATGAGTGCAGAATTCCAGTTTGGGGTGGCCCAAATCTGCACGGCCGTTGGCTTGTCCTTGGCCAACACATTCGCGCACTTCGCATCTCGCTTAAAGCTGCTGCAGTCGACCTGGAAAGCCATCCACGTCGATCAGAATGTCAAGGCCAAGGGCTACTGATGTGGGAAAATCATGAGTCAGCAAAAACAGGGATCCACTTTCTCGCCGGGGTAATTCCCACTTTGAGACTTTCAAGTATCAGGCCCTTTGTTGGGATTCCCGATATTAAGTATTATAGGGTATTAGGGTCTAGATTAGGGCCCCTTATGTGTGGAAGACCTTAAACGTAATCCTATATCCCTAGTCCCTAAGCGAGGCCTGGTATTGATGTCTCTGCGAGTCTGCGTGTGCAGTTGTGTTTCTGCCTTTGGCTGGTTTTGCCCAGACCCTCGAAAGGGGTTGAACAGTTTGATCCTTTAGGGTTTAGTGTAGATCCTTTTGGATGGCCTGGTTTAGGGTTTAGGGATTGCGAAAGGATGATATAGGCGCTTGTTTAGTGGATGTTTTCCTTTATCCTCCCAAGGGTCTGGGAGAGGCTCCAGCATTGAAGTTTTCAGCCATCATGGTTGGCTTGAGACCATGATTTTCCAAGTCATGTGTTAGGTGGACCCGCCACCCTGTAACAGTGGTATTATAGAAATATAATGACTATAAGCGGACCCTAATATAATCACCGTGCTTGGGGGAGGGGTCCACCTAAGTCATGTGGGAGATTTCTCAAAAGAGTTTGGGTCCCGAGAGACTCAGCAATATGTGGGGACTACGAAGGGATACGAAGGGTCTATGTCAATGGTTCTGCTGGGGGTACTCTTCAGAATCTGATGTGGAGCTTTGTCGGGGGGATGCCAGAGACCTGTCGAGAATGTAAGAAAGAGGATTAGGAGGGTCTATATGGTAGGTTGTCAAAATTAAGATC